AGAACTACACCTATGTTGCAAGATGTCACCACCACGCCTTTTGCTGTGGCAAAGCAAATCCGCAACCTTAAGACCCGAAAGGCTGCGGGAGCGGACGGTATTTCTCATGAACTCCTGAAACTATTTTGTTCCAGTATTGCATACCCTCTCAGCCTCATCTTTAACCTCACTTTTGCAACTGGTGCTTTCCCTGCTATTTGGAAACACGCAATTGTAACTCCGGTCTTTAAGAACAAGGGAAGTAAGCTCGATGCATCGAATTACCGCCCGATTTCGTTATTGTCAACAATCTCCAAGCTGTGTGAACGTATTATGTACAACCACTTATACACTTACCTGTCTCCTGTTCTACATCCGTCCCAGTCTGGATTCCGAAAAGGCGACTCTACGTCCTGGCAGCTTCTCAGACTTGTTCAATCGATGTCTTCTGTTCGTGAGAACGGCCATTACAGCATGCTATGTTTCTTTGATCTAAGCAAGGCCTTCGACACCGTATGGACACGCGGGCTCCTATACAAGCTGTCGCGCCATGGAATCCATGGTACTTGCTTCACGTGGCTCAGTACTTACCTGACGGGCAGACAGCAAAGGGTGCGTGTCGGCTCTGCTCTGTCTGCCAAAGGGCATGTACGGTCTGGAGTTCCTCAGGGATCAATCCTGGGGCCTCTCCTCTTCCTTATGTATGTAAACGATCTGGCAGAAATGGATCACACATCACTATATGCTGATGATACAGCACTACTTGTGACAGCACCCACTCTCCCCGAGGCTAGTGCCAAGTTACAGTCCAACATAGATGGCGTTATTCATTGGATGGAAAAATGGAAATTGCAACCCAACTCTTCGAAAACTGCTGTAATGTGTATCCCCCCCCAGTTGTTCCTGTGATCTATCTTCATTAGTAACCAGTCCCTTCACCTTTCCAGGCACCACAACCCCGCTCTGCATCGTTGAAAAACACAAGCATCTTGGCGTCATTATTGACCAACACTTAACCTGGAAATCCCAGATCGAAAATTTAGACAGCCGTGTTAGCTCAGTAATGGGATTTCTCTCATCACACATCACCCACCTGCACACCGACTGTCGCCATGTTATCTACACATCTTACATTCTGCCTATTTTTGATTACTGCTGCATAATTTGGGCTGGCATTTCTAAAACACTGATTGCTCGACTCGAAGTTATGCATAGGCGTCTTTTGAAAATATTATTTCGGCTTCCTCGCCTGACTCCAAGCGCAGACTTATACCGCCTTGCTTCTGCTGTGCCGCTCTCGGTCCGCGTGCGTTTTTTGGCATGCCAGACAATTCATAAAATTAAGCTGGGCATTGCTCCTCTTCATGCTCTCTCCTGCCTAAGCTGGTTTGCTCAATCTCAAGACATGCGCACCAGAAACTCTCTCCGCTTCCCTATTGCGCGGTCTGCCTCTATGCAAAAATCTCCTCTCTTCCTTGCTTACCGCCATTGGTCTCTCCTCCCACAACATCTAAAATCCTGCCAATGTTACAATACATTCACACAGCTACTGCAGAATGCAACATACTAGTTGATATCCAGCCCTGCCCTAGCTTCTTTTGCTTTTCAGTTCCCCTTTCATTCTTGGCTTTCCCCCTCTAGCTGTATTACCGCCATGGCTGGCTATCGCCCACATCACCATTTCATTGGCTAGTGCCACGTGATTGTGAATAAATAATAATAATAATAATGTCTTTCGATGTACCGGTTTCTCTCATTATGCGTGCAAAATATCACAAATGCATATTGTCATTGCGTTGCATAGCCAATATGCTACCAAATTTCAGGCACCAGCCTGGCAAATTGCTTTCCTCAAACGTTACTCAAACGAGAGCTTATACATTATAGTTAGTGTAGTAAGTATCTATTATTGCACGGGTGGTGGCGTTCCTGCGGATGCGGAAAACTGGGCCTTTGACCGAGTCTCACGCGAACCGTGATTTTTTTATATAATAAAGAGGTCAATATATGAAATATAGAATGAGTAAAAGACCGAGGTCCCCCGAGGTCTTTTACGAGGTCTATATTTCATATTTTGACCGATTGTGAGGGCAATACAAGATTTATCGCGACGTGGCGTACCTAAACTGTTTTTAGCTTTGTTTTAATAGGAAGAAAGGAATACTATTGTAATAGTACATAGTACTGTATGTACATATGCCGTTCACATTGGACATTACTTCTCTCTGAACAGAAGTTTTCAGTTGTCACTTGTAGTATGTTCCCCGAGTTCTTTGACTGAGAATCTGACAGTTTGGGTTCAAATCGCAACACTTGGCTTCAGATTTTTCTTCTTTCAGTTCTGATTTTTTTCTAAGTTTAGGAAAAAGTTCTAAATCCTCAGGCTAAGTGGTCAATGATAAGTGGTCAATATAAGCAGTCAATATATGCTGATATTTGACCGCTTAGAGATCACAAGCTTCTGTGGGGGTCAATAATAAGAGAGTGATAACAATTATTACTACGAAAAGGCGACGAGGAGACAATAACTTTATTAATGCGATTAATAGTATAAGTGAACCAGACATTACAAAATGATGAATGAGAATACATGTATCTAAAATGGTTGTTCCTTATCGATTTTCTTGAGACTATCATCAGGGAAAATCGTCTCACAATAGAGGCTATACGGAGAAACAAACGACTTATAGGTTATCGGATAGTGGGAAGTATACAAGGTGAGGTGTGAAAAAACTAAAGTGGGAGAGAAGACGAAAGAAATTAGAAGAAAAGATGTGAGAGTGTTCTGACGGTGTGAGCTACTACAAAAGGTGAGTGAAATGAAGGCGTGGAAGCAAGTGAATGTGATAGAGTGAGGAACTGTGAGGTGTAGGTGGCTTGTATACTTCCCACTATCCGATAACCTATAAGTAGTTTGTTTCTCCGTATAGCCTCTATTGTGAGACGATTTTCCCTGATGATAGTCTCAAGAAAATCGATTAGGAACAACCATTTTAGATACATGTATTCTCATTCATCATTTTGTAATGTCCGCTTCACTTATACTATTAATCGCATTAATAAAATTATTACTACATTCTTCAGAATTCATACGAGCACCTTTTCCTTGTTCTTCCTGTGTGTATAGGTCAGGCATTTATGATTGTTATTTCAGCTCTTATTCCTTGCGCCGCGCGACTTCTATCACGTCCCTACTGTGCTTTTAAAATCCATTGTCCTTGTTCCTTTTATGTTGCCTGCATTTCACCTGACGAGAAGGCTTCAAAGTATACAAGTGAAAACCTTCCGAAAGCTGTTCAAGAAACTGAAGCCTCTCCTTCTACGTATAATAGCATTAAGATTCTTAAAACACATACATGTACAATGTATATGCCTGTAGATGCCATTGCAATGAACTACATGCTGAAGTTCATTATTATTGAGTCCAGGAAAACAAATACCGCATTATCTCTATTACAAGCGCAGTCTCTTGTAGAAGCCCAGTCTCTATTATAAGCGCACTCCAAGAGGGCTTCCAAGATATACAAGCCCAGTCTCCAATATAAGCCAAGGGTCCGGACTGGTTGAAAAAATATAAGCGCTGGGCTTATAATGGTGATAATACGGTACATGTTACGTACCTGTAGGCGCCATTGCAATGAACTACACGCGGAGGTTCGAACCAGTACTCACCAATGTGAATTTACGAGCTCGCAAACCTGATTCCATGATAACTAGTGTTAGAATTTTGTTGGTCCGGCCAACCTGAGCGATCCCGCCACCCTGTACGACCATACCATGGCAATCCTAGGTACTACATCATGGACAGTAAAACCTGGTTTAAGCGACCACCCCACGGCGCAAGCAAAAGCGGTCGTTAAAGCCCGGTGGTCTGCAGAACCAGGTCCCACAGTGTCTGTGCGGAAGTGTCCGTGCATGGAAAATGGTCGTTAAGAGCAGGTGACCGCTAATCCCAGTGGTCGCTTACACCAGGTTTTACTGTATTAGTATGTGATGTTACCTACATGTACATGCGCTGGTACAGGTACGCACATATTATGATGTGTGTGTGTGTTTGTGTGTGAGTGTGTGTGTGTGTGCATGTGTATGTGCGTGTGTGTGTGTGTGCGTGTGAGTGTGTGTGTGTGTGTGTGTGTGTGTGTGTGCGTGTGTGTGTGTGTGTGTGTGTGTGTGTGTGTGTGAGTGTGTGTGCGTGTGTGTGTGTGTGCGTGTGTGTGTGTGTGCGTGTGTGTGTGTGTGTGTGTTGTGTGTGTGGTTTGTTGTGCAATTGGACCACATAGACGCGGCATAGACTCGTGCCCAGCTGGAGTTCATATTTTTTTGGCCCATCCACAGTGATGCTGCATAGTGCCGCAACAGTGAAGTGTCAGCAGTGTACCTAAAGTGGGTCGAGCGTTTCGGCAGGTCGTTCTTGCAGTAACACGAATGGCCTATTTCAAATGTTGATAAGACATGGAAAGGTAGGACTTTCCGCTGTGCCACTCCCTTGCTGGGAGACAGTGTTGAAAGGTGCTGAGAAACTACAGCAACGACCAGTGGCGTGGGACGTGGACGATCACTGTATAAGCGTTCTGCAAACGAAGATGCGAGAGATGTTAGATGATGTTTGGAGTGCAATGCTGTGTGGCAGCTAGGCTCCGGTGGATTGTGCTTGCGAAATCATGGAATTAGGCTTTCATGGATTCTCGCATTATGCTCGCCAAATCTTCATATTATGCTTTGGCACGCGGGGATACATATTCACTTTGTTGTACTTATGGAGCCTCAAAGTTCGGAAAATTGTGCTTTTTTCGTACTTGTGGCCATATTATTATTATTATTATTATTGCAAATAACGCTGAGTAATTACATGAATGCATAAAAACCAGCATTTGCTTCCGGGAAGGATTCACAAACATAAGACAAAAACACCATCAATGTAACTGCACATACGAAAAGCAGCTTCTATTGTCAAGTTCGAGTGGCAATGTCAGAAAGACGGTAGACTGTTCGTGCACGATGTTCACCCTGCAGGGGATAAGTCAAGGACGCGGCTCGGCAGAGGAAGATGAGTGCCGCGGGGTGCCATTCCACCGTGACTTATCCCCTGCCAACTGCCGCAGCTGATTAAGGCCTCTAAGCGTGCCCAGGCGAATGCCGAGTCGGGCTAGGCAGTCCTGAGAAAGAGCTGAGAGGAGAGTTGTCCTGGGTCGGCCCAGTCGACCGCGCAGGCTCGCAGTGGCTGAAAACTCTAACACGCGCTGTGGGGGAGAGCTCTTCTGCATTCTCAGTACGTGACCAAGGAATTCCCAACGCCGTTGGTCAATCTCGAGCGAAATTGGTGCTGAGCCGCAGATGTCGTACAGATGCTTGTTGGTAATTGTGTTCGGGAACTTAACGCCAGCCATTGTTCTCAGATGCCTTCGATGAAAGGTGTCAATCCCTCTGGTGGTGGCATCTGTGAGACCCCATGTCGCACAGTTGTACAACAGCACTGGCTTCACATAGGTATTGTACAGCGCAACTCTAAGCAGTAGTTGATGCTTGAAGAGTGCGTACAACGAACAGAATGCCTGGGTTGCTAGGGCCTTTCTGGCTTGGACATCTTGCGCTGAGCCTAGCCGTGATCCCAGCGACTTCGCATTTCTCCATGCTTCGGAACCACGCTCCTCCAGATCATCAGCCAGGTATATCTTTGTTCGTTCAGTTTTGAAGGTATTAACGGTGAGGTTATGGCTTGGGAGGGTCTCTGCACATTGATCATGAACGTCCTCTAGCTCTTGCTCATCAGTTCCAATGAAGTCTAGATCATCCGCATACTGCAGTTCAGGTGGTAGGATGTCGTCAGGAGGGGATTCTTGTGGCCATAAGTACAACAAAATGTTACATGAGTATCCCCATACCAAGGTGCCCCTGCATGCTATAGATCAACATGGAAAGAGAAAACATTACTTCTTCTCAGTATTCATCAGTTGACTTCTTTTCGAAAGATTTTTCATCGTCAAATTAGTTAGAGTTCCCTTTGAAAAATATCATATTCAACTGTCTTCGTGATTGCCATACTCGTCCAACCGATGTCACCCTCACCCTGCGAATAATCAGCTCATATCTCCCGTAGCTCCACCTCTCCTTCCATCATGACCGAACATCAACAATACCTCTTCAAGATTTGTTTAATCATTAGAGCAATATCCATAGCCTTAAGTGCTAGTGCACAATCGTGGCTGCTAAAATCCAGACGTCATGACTTCGTAACATGCATAATATACATGTACATGTAGGCGGAGTTTTGAGGACTACCCGTCACTATCTCATCTGCCCCAGGATACTCCTTAGTACCTGATAGAGGATGATTCACTCGCATCTTCTGCTACATGTACTGTATGAAGGTGAAAAAGAACTTTAAAGAAGACGAGTTCGAGCATACAATAATGTATTGCCTTGATTTCTACCCTTCTTTTCCATTGAAAACACATTCTGAATGACCGCCGAACCCTTTACCATGCAGACCACCATCACTGATCAGGTGCATTCTACACAATTGTGTAGCTTACATACTAGAACTGTGGTACAATCATGTAGTTATGCTTCAACCTCCAAAGGGATGCCAAATTATGCTCCAAATTTTCAACCACAAAATTATGCCAATAATTATGCCGGCATAATCCGCCGTTGCCTAGTGGCAGCACAGTTTTATTGTGATTCTAAATACAGCAAACAGTTGACGTGTCTTCCCTCCATATTCGAAGTTTTAGGACTACATACTAAAGGCTACAAAGAACTACTACTTCCTCCAGCGATGGTTCTACAAGGGACTGCGCTGACGACCCAGCCAAGTACACAGTACTATGGTCCAGTTGATTCGCATGTTGATGATCAACGAACTACATCATTACAACTACTCCCTGTTTTCCCAGTTCTTGGTGTCGCATGCTAACCTGCTCTTTATGATGACGCAGTGTCCAATGTAACGTCATTAGGACCATAATTATTTGACCTTTCTGGAAATATTACTATAATCGGAAAGCTCACATCCGAGCCCTCAAATCGTTTATTTCGTTATTGCATCATTCAATGTACCAGTTTCTATAAGTCTGCATGTAATATCGCATAATATTATAATCAATCTGCGGACAGCATGCTGTTTCGTCTTTTATGGACTCATCAGCGCAGCACAGAGAAAATGAAGCCCGCGGGGAGGGGGGGGGGGTGATACCACATATGCTTAATAATTGTCATTGTGTTGAACAGCCAATGTGCTACCAAATTTCAGGAACAAGCCCGGAAAGTTTCTCTCGTCAAACAGCGCTCAGCCGAGAGCGTATGCATTACAATTAGTATAATAATTCACAGGAAAGGAGAGAGATTATAATTATAAAGTGCCAGTTCCCTCTATTCCTGGACTGACCCTTTGAAATTTGAAGTTCTCCCAATCCTGATAATAATAATCATAATAATAATAATGTAGAAGAGAAAAGGACATATGGATACGAGTTAAGAGTAACTCTCCATCACTGTAACATGATACTTTATACAGTCAGAAAGTGCAATAACTAGGCACAAAACTGACAGAGTACTGAAACATTCGACGTCCTGACACCTAGCTTCAACACATCTCCGTAGCGCTAACCGACAGCCTTCCAACTTGGAAGGTTCAAGGTTATGGAAAGACCAAAGAGGGGAAGGCAAGCGCAACGAAAACAAGCAGAAGCTACAGTCCCAACGGAACAAAGAATGTCGATTGTTACTGGACGATGACGAGACCAGTACGATATTTGACAAAGCGGTCTAACTACAATTCGAAGCAGCAAAGCAGCACACCACCCAACTTGGGTGGGTCATAAATATGATGGAGAGTTACTCTTAACTCGTATCCATATGTCCTTTTCTCTTCTACATTTATTTATGGCTCAACATCCGAACAATAATAATAATATCTTTATTAGGATGGTGGTGGTGGTGGTGAGAAGGAGAGCTCTGTGCCAGAACTTTGCAGCCTAGAGAGCGTGTGTGGGCAGGCGTGTGTTTACCACCATATTGCCAGGTGTGCCTTAGCCACCATATTTATTCTCCCAATCCTTTAAAAATATTTAGTGTAGCAAAATACCAATACATTCCTTAGAATTCACCGCGAACCTTTTCGTTGTTCCTCCTGTGTGTATTAGGGTCCAGCGGATTCTGCCGGCAGAAAAATTGGCAGAATTCAGTACTTTTTCTGGTAGATTTCATGCATGTTTGGTATGTGGATAAAGAAATGGAGCAGAATTCGAGGAATTGCCCGCCATAAGGTTTGTATGGTTCTGCCAATTTTACTGCTTTCGAGCAGAATCTGCCACCTTTTGGAGCAGAATCCGCCTGTCCCTAGTGTGTATCGGCCACACATTTCTTGTTATTTTTTCCAGCTCTTCTTCCTAGCGCTGGTTTTTTCGGCTCTCTACTGTATTTGACTTTTCCTCATTATACATTGTGTGTGGGTCATGCATGTATCGTTGTTATTCCAGCACTTCCTCCTTTTTTCTTCTTCCATCCTCCCTCCTTTCTTCTTGTGTTTTTGCTCAAGGCTCTTGTACGGGCAAAAATACCATCTTGATCAATAATAGAAATGCAACTAAAATCCAAAACAATTTAAAAATGTAAAGAACAAAAAGAACCCAATGAAAAGAACCCAAAGTTAATGAAAAGAACCCAACCAGCCGCACACGCAGCACACGGGAGGGAGCAGCATAAATAAGTGAACTTCCTCAAAAAACGTGAAATCCATGAAATCCTTCCTTTTTTCTTCCTTTTCCTTTTTTCTTCCTTTTCCTTTTTTTATTCCCATAACCTTTTAAAAAAGGTGTTCGCATTCACTGACGAGTGTATTTCGCCATGTGCATGAACCAAGCAGGTGTTTGCCATCCACACATCACGCAGCTTTTTAGAAGGTGCAAATAACCCGTGCTCACAGAGCCTCCAGACTGCGACTTCAACTGCCGGTTGACGTTTTTGTACAGATTTGGCTATAATTATTCTGAACACGGTGGTGTGTGTATAGCCGGTGTCTCGTATAGGACATGTCTAGGCGGCTGCGCTCAGTAACGTCTTCGCTGCAGTAGTTCAATGCCACTACAGTAGTACTCGTGATCTGATTCCTTTCTTAAGATTTACTGATATGGCAGGTTAGAACTCTGCTTTACTGGCGATTTCTTTTCGCGTGAAGATCAAGTAGCAGTTTCCAACAACCTTCTGTGTTCCCCTTAGTCGTAGCGAAGTATGATTCGCACTCCATAACTCAGAAATGGTCTCGCTGTAGCTGAGACCGGTTTAGCACGGATGTTTTCTCACTACAGATACACTAGAGATCTTGTCCGCTCTGCAGCGGCTATTCCCCTGAACGCCATGCACATCAATACGATCTCAGCGTGGGTCCTGCTGCTTGTTACTGAAGCATTGGTGAAGACTTCTGGAGGGCATGGAGATCATATTTATCGGGAAAAGGAGATTCTAAAGTCTAGTTTGTTTCATTCGAGAGAACTAAGGCAACGACCAGCAGCTCGGCACGCCGATGATTTCGACGTGTGCAGTGGATTACGCTCGCAGGCCTCAGATCGGGATTGCAATAAGGTGAACCAACAGAGAGTAAGTACGTGTTTGATCCTAACCGTTATGTTATGGACGACCAGGAAATGTACGGAGCCAGGTGTCCGCACTGGAAAATACGACCAGCTGATGTGCTTCGGTCTCGCACTCTTGGCCACCAAATGGACCCTGCTCCATAGAATGCAATGCCGAAATGTTCTGCCGCGTGGCTTGAATACAACACAAGCACAATTGAAATACCTTGCGCGAGAAAGTCTAGCGATTTGCCCCCTCAGACCCGCAGAGTGGCAACCCACAGATCAACAACTAGCAATGATCAACAGTAGTCGCGTTGTCTGCTTTCATGCTTCCGACAATGTTCTGGGTAGTGCGATTCGCCACTCCGCCCTTGCTGTTTCGCGAATACCCTATTTGATAATAACGAAGGGAAAGGCAATTCTGAACTCTGCGTCGCTGCCTTGCTGGGAGAAAGACTTAATATCGGCTCAGAAACTATACCAGCGACTGGTGAAGTGGGACGTGGACGATGACTGTATTCAAATTCTCCAAACCGTCATGCGAAAGATCATAGATGATCTGTGGACAACAGCATTTGAGAATGATGGACCAGCCCATTCACTCCTCGCTGGTGACCTCGCCCTGAATAGAAAACTGTTGGTACTTGCTCGTTCCGTCGTGAGCATATTGAAGCGACTAGCGCCCACAAACTCCGATTATTTCCTCCAGCGGTGGTTCTACCCTATGTTCAAGCGTCTGCGTAATCGTGCAAGGCAGAGCAAGCTATACAAACGGACAAGCGCCCTGGCACCTAGCTGCAAAGGACTGCGCGGACGGCCCAGCGAAGCACACAATACTATAGTCCAGTTGATTCGCATGTTGATGATCAACGAACTACATCATTACAACTACTCCCTGTTTTCCCAGTTCTTGGTGTCGCATGCTAACCTGCTCTTTATGATGTATTTACAGCTGTGTCCAGTCTAGGACCATGTTTTCAACTTTCTGAAAATTTAAATTCATAATTCTGAAAGCTCGCACCCAAACCGTGAAATTGTACATTTCACTAATATTTCCTTCGATGTACCGGTTTCTCTCCTTATACGTGTAATATGACATACTTGGTCCGCGTCAGCGATATTGTCGCTTATCTTTCAGCTTTGTTTATATGTCACCAATGCTTACTTGGCAGCCCATTTCATCCCAGTACCGGTTTCTCTCCTTATACGTGTAATATGACAAGTATGCATAATTATTGTCATAGCGTTGCATAGCCGATATGCTACCGAATTTCAGGCACCAGCCCGGCAAATTTCTTTCCTGAAACATTACTCAAATGAGAGCTTATACATTTTAGTTAGTGTAGTAACAATTATTACATTCTTCAGAATTCACATGTGCACCTTTTCCTTATTCTTCCTGTGTGTATAGGTTGGTTGGTTGGTTTGGTCAGGCATTTATGGTTGTTATTTCAGCTCTTATTCCTCACGCCGCCACTTCTATCACGTCCCTACTGTGCTTTTAAAATCCATTGTCCTTGTTCCTTTTATGTTGCCTGCATTTCACCTGACCAGAAGGCTTCAAAGTATACAAGTGATCACATTCGGAAAGCTGTTTAAGAAACTGAAGCCTCTCCCTCTACATGTACGTATAATAGCATTAATTCCTGTAGCTATGCAGAAGACGTTACTTCAGTAACGTCTGGCGCTAGCCAGGGTCCACACAGCTTTAATTCCCGTGGCTATGCAGAAGACGTTACTTCAGTAACGTCTGGCGCTAGCCAGGGTCCACACAGCTTTAATTCCCGTAGCTATGCAGAGGGTGGTGATCCTAGAGGGTGGTGGCGTTCCCACGGCGGATGCGGAAAACTCGGCTTCCAGCCGAGTCTCACGCGAACCGTGAAATTTATTTTTTTATGCAGAAGACGTTACTTCAGTAACGTCTGGCGCTAGCCAG